TGTACGTGGATTACTGACATTACACCACGACGTCTCATACTTCTGTCTAAAACACCCGACGGACATGGTCAATCAGACAGACCGGTCCAAATAATCAACATGAGTGGACGGTTCGTACGGCAGGTCGAGGCGTCGGCTACGGCTGCCGCATAACCAACGACTTCCTCGACCACGAAGAAGCGCCGTCTTACCTCCTGCGAGTGCGTTCTTTCACGCGCGTCCACCTTTCCGACCGTTATTCACCCATCAACAACAAACCTGGTTGCTGTCGTTTAACACTTCACCCTTTAGTTTTGTCTTCCCTCTGCCGGCTGAACTACCAACCAAGGTCGCTCTTATAGCCTTCATATCCTTAGGGGCTTGTCCTTTATTATATATTTTTCTGACAGTGTCAAAGGTGGGTTGAGTGCCTATCATTCACGTAAGCAAAGAAAACTGATTAGAAATGTGCTGGATGATACAAGGTCAAGGTTTCCACTGAAGGTCATACAAGAGATGCATTAATTCTGAACGGAAACCCGCCAGAAACCTATGATTGTGGGTTCGAATCCCGGTTCGCCCCGATTATGTTTCTAGGTTTGTCAGCTACAAACCCGTGCTCGTGGGTTTCACCGAAGTGGTAAACGTCTGAGACTCGCATCACTTTGGGCATTCCTCCTACATTAAGCTGACTCGCCGTGATATAACTGGAATACCGTTAACAGCGGCGTTAAACCCAACTCACTCACTCACTGAACGGAAACCATGGCGGCCATCTTTGATTAATCCGAACTGATCCTTGTACAAACCTTCGTGGGAATATTGACAAGCAAGCTTTTGCATCAGCTACAACTGAAAATGGGTTTACAATTGTTACTTGGCAGTGTATTTTATTGTTGCACAGTGATTGTAACTGTGTTACATTGTTTCTGTTGAGATTCGGTAGACGCTTATTGCATTGTATTTGGACAGTGATCAGACGTCAGGAAGTTACTATGTTTAGATGCTAGTGTGGTGTGTAAACTTCCTGCCCGGTATCCCGCTGACGGTGATAGTATGTAACCAAAATGTCTGTAATGTTCTATGTGGCGAGGGCACGATGTAGAAATTTCCATTAACTTGGTAAGTTGAATGTAAGGTGACAATAGATGGGTTTACGTATCTCCCAAGCATTTCATCGCTTTGAAACCAGCTTTCAGGTGAGGATCGCTCATCATTCCTACCTAGCTCATCTCGGAAGCTTGAACACTGTCGCCGCTGGCTTAACACATATTGGAATTACTATAGTCAAGTGGGACCTGGTACAGCAACAACGCCATCGTGGCCGCCAGGGAGAAGATCGTTGTCTGACGCCGCACTCAGCAATGTCCTAGTTACATGAAAGCGGGCTTAAATAATAGCTTTGAAAAGACACACTACTCATTGTTATCATTATCAAAGTCCCTTGACGACGATCCCCTATGACACACAATCAAGCAAGTCACTGAGCCTAAACCTCCCGATCCATCATGTAGCCCCGTGCGACATATAACATATATAGGTTTCAAGGGACTTCTTCTAACCCTGAATCCCCTCGGGTTTCCATGGACATGAGGTATGTGTGGTCGTTCGTGCATCTATACCACCATACGTGCTTGAACTACTAGTTCACCGATTCACTAATTGAGGATGACCTTTGACTAGGATTATGGAAACGTAACATAGCCAATAACATTGTGACACTTTATGTTCCTGGATGGTGTAGGGAGACAAGGATTATACCCTTCGGGGAGCCATATTGCATTGCTTCACGTAATCCTAAAAGAAACTTTGGAGCATAGTCGCCCTTAAAAAGACAAGCAAACATTGTGAAAATTATTTGAACAATATTTTAAATATTTTACCAAGGATGACAATGCAACAATTCGGTTATAACCCTTCTAGGTTTCCATACATTTAAGACTGGCAGTATAAATGTTGATTTCAATGTTAATAAGATAGGAGCTGACGAGGTATTACTTATTATATCTACAGAGAATTGATGCGGGAAGTCTCGGGAGAAATATTCGTTAAGTCTGAGTACCGAGTAAGACGTATTTCACAAGATCTGTAAAGGAAACGACTACTTTGTACAGGTCAACAGCTTAGAGCCATTGTTTGTCCTTGACAATGTTTGGCTACAGTGCCATCTCGTTTATGACGTCACAATTGTTTAAAAAGGCATGAAGCTGGAAATAGGATACTGAAGTAACCCGAAGCCGCAAAATTCTAAAACAGAACATGAAACAAAAAGTATAAGTAACCATACGAACTGAGGATAATCTCCTTAACGCCAATCCCCACTGGGGAAATAAATGAGAGTTTTTATTTTATGGATTGTTACATACCTTCTCTCCAAGATGTTGTGTTGTACTGAGTAGTCCCAGCAATCCCTGCTTGTCGTAAGAGGCATACATCATCTGCACATTTATAAACACAAAGAGTTATATTCCTCGGTGGGATTCGAACCTGCATCCTCTTGATGTGTCGTCCGTGTCGCTACCACCTGTGCCACGGAGACAATTGTCAATCTTCTTAGTCACCATTTGCTTTGTTTATTTGTGCATGTTTATGTTAATATTGTACCTAGTTCGTTGTAAGTCCTGGTGGAATATCTTATTTCAATATATATTATACTCGTACTTCTCCTCCTCATTTGACTTACTATGCTTGTCGTAAGAGGCGACTATGCTTGTCGTAAGAGGCGACTATGCTTGTCGTAAGAGGCGACTATGCTTGTCGTAAGAGGCGACTAACGGGATCGGGTGGTCAGGCACGCTGACTTGGTTGTTGCATGTCATCGATCCCAATTGCGTAGATGCTCATGATATTAATCACTGGGTGCGGCGTTAAACAACACACCAACCAACCAACTTATCTGGCTTATAACTTGATAGTATGCACTTTATTAAACATGTTTAAAGTTAACGTGGCTTCACTTAACGGGGCGGTCGGGTAGCCTAGTGGTTTAAGCGTTCGCTCGTCACGCCGAAGACCCGGGTTCGATTCCCGACATGGGTACAATATGTGAAGCCCATTTCTGGTGTCCCCCGCCGTGATATTGCTGGAATATTGCTAAAAGCGGCGTAAAACAATACTCACTCACTCACTCACTTTACTTAACCATGAACTACTCATTTTAGTAGTGTTTTATTATGTTTAAAACGTACTTGGTCTCTCTCAACATGAAGGTTCGGGTTGTTGCGTCAGATATGGATATACACACACAACCCACGAGAACTACCAGGAAGCATGTCATCATGGCTATGAATATAACCAATAATACTGAATGTTTAAAACGTACTTGGTCTCTCTCAACATGAAGGTTCGGGTTGTTGCGTCAGATATGGATATACACACACATCCCACGACAACTACCAGGAAGCATGTCATCATGGCTATGAATATAACCAATAATACTGAATGTTTAAAACGTGCTTGGTCTCTCTCAACATGAAGGTTCGGGTTGTTGCGTCAGATATGGATATACACACACATCCCACGACAACTACCAGGAAGCATGTCATCATGGCTATGAATATAACCAATAATACTGAAAGGGTAAAGGGTCATGTTGACCCCACAAGGGTTAACATTTCGTATGGTGTATAAGGTGTCAGCGACACCTAGTTACGAGCTGGTTAACCAAACAGCATCGCAGACAGCGGTATCGCGTTACAGTTCTCCGCAGGGGACAACTCAGTACAAGACATGGTAAACCTATCTACGAATGCAATAAACACAGGCGCCAGCCCTGCATGGCTGTGTATGTCACCATACTGTGAACTTCTACTTTATGGCGTTTTATTATCAGATTCATATTCGGTTCTATCCACATATATATTTATGTTCTTTTGAGTAGGATTGGCACTCTTCTCCGTTTAATAACTCGAAAACATAACATTACACACTCACTCATTCTATTCCTGAACCCCTTTAAGACAAATGATTCTGGACCCTTCCTGCCAAGATACATCCAACCAGCATGTGCACATCGCTATTTGAATGCTTCATCATTTTGTTTACGTCAACATTTACTCTCACAGAAATAACATATATTTTTTAAGGGTATATTTGAAACAAAAAATTAATTGTTAAAAATGTCGTTTTGCAATATTACAATTTCATAGCGACAAAGTAGACACGATTTATGGATAACAACTTCTTTAATACCGTAAAGGCGACGTTTTGGTATAGATCCTTATACCGTTGTCAGGCAATCGGTCTTGCTTGACAACGTTATAAGGATCTATGCCGAAACGTCGCCTTGACAGTATTAAAGAAGCTGTTATCCATAAATTGTTTCTACTTTGTCATCCGTCAACTTCTAGGTAATACCTATCACACAATTTTATTTAGAAGTGGTTCTCTTCGTCTTAAGAGAGAGACATGTAGGTATATTGTACTGTTCCTAGAAATCAAAGATTATGTCCAGTTTGTGAAGACTGTTATTTGCAGATGCATTCCATCTCTTGATATCTATATAATACAAATCCTAGGTAATAAATAGCTTCCTAGACAATTCTTTATTTTATGTACTTATGGCATTTACTGATTTTAATTACTCAGCTTGCAAGGTTTGTTTGTCTTGTTAAGTGAGTTATTAAGCTATATTGCAATACCTAGTCTATGGATTCCTTCACTATGTTGTTTACAATATACTCTTCTAAGTTTGTGAACACGGGGCGATGGCCTGTATGTCTCATGAATAAAGTCTATACCCACATATATTATATTACGTTCCTTTTCTCTACCAATACCATACATCATGGTCTGAGAACACTGTCTTAATAATGTGTGTTATTAATTTAGCTGTATGTACGATACTGCATAGTCGTCAATTTTACAGGCGTTTCAGACAGGGCGTGCAAGCAACTTGAGTTGATGGGAATCGCATGTGAAGGACAACCTACGCAGCTGACGTCTTCCTTTAAACTTTGATCACTCAAAAGCCCCCCTCCCCCCTCCCCCACCCACAACAGTGCACTCTTGCGCAACAGATGTCCCAGCCACAACTGTGGGAATGGGTCACGTCCCAAACTCATCAGTATGACTTACAGCAGGCGATTCATCCTCGACACGGGCACTCGTATTTCACGACCTCTCGCCAAAGTTCAGCGATATTTCTACGCCCGGATCTATCCCACATGGCGATAACACTTTGTATACATTTTGTGATTCTATCGTAAACTTAAACGGACGCCATTCTATGCGCAAGTCTTTGTATATTAACATGACGCGCCATTTTCTTAGCCTGGTGTTTCTTGTGTGGAGTTTAGTGGAAGCTGAGGACACGAGGTGAGTACTGTTATATGATTGTATGGAATAGTGTTAGGGTCAAATGTGGGCGTGTTTCCATGTAATCGTGTATATAGGACAATACATTGTCTTCTTACGATGCAAAGGCTCCGCCTTGTCAGACCGTCTGTGTTAGCAGGACGATGCGGAGAAGAAAGACACTTTATTGCATCCTTTTATGATTGGATACAGCTGTATGACCTTGGTTAGTGCTAAACATGTAACATTGTGGACAGCAGTGTGGGGGAATTATCGGTTAATATGAGAAGCGAACTAGTATTTGAGACTACGTTCTTGATGCATTGGCAAAACTCGTGTGTGTTTGATTAATCATCGCATGTACCTGTACCTATGCTACACTCGGACAAAATAACAGAATATGTACATGATGGGGTTTTGTACATGTTGTGACAGACATACAAATATGAATATAAGTTCAAGATCGACGTTGTACAGTGTATTATTTAGTATTCCTCTGTACTATATCAGCGACAATCGTCATAAATAGAAATGCCATAACATCATGATAGAAATGCCATTACATCAATGTCTCAGGGCCCACTTGCACAAAGCGATCTTAGCGCTAAGATGATCTCAACTCCCATACTTTAACATAGGCTTACAATAGTCTTAGCGTTAAGATCGTTTTGTGCAAGTAGGCCCATGGTCTTTTACATCAATACGTGATCTATTTGTGATTTAAACATAATTGTATTGCGGCAAATCAAATGGATTAGGCACAAGTGACACACTTACGAGGCCTTCACCTAAGACATCAATATTTGATATTTTACATCAATACTGTGTGTATTACATGAATCATTGGTCTATAACACCAATGCCGACCCGTAAAGATCATGGTAGAGAATAAGTCTTCAGCAACCCATGCTTGTCGGAACAGGTGGTTATGCTTGTCTTGAGAGGTGACTAACGGGATCGGGTGGTCAGGCTCGCTGACTTGGTTGATGCATGTTATCGTAGCCCAATTGCGTAGATCGATGCTCATGATATGAATCACTGGACTGTCTGGTCCAGACTCAATTATGTCCAGACAGCCGTGATACATGGCTGGAATAGTGCTGAGTTCGGCGTTAAAGAACAAACAAACATCAATACCTTTTCTATCACATTAATACCTGATCTATGACATAAATACCTTGTCTTTTACATCAATACCTGATCTTTCACATTAAAAAATAATTGAATGATGATCTGCCATTTCCAATAATAGTAGGTCTTTGATCGTCTTTACAAGCTATTAAGTCATTTCGTTAAACGAACGCAGGAAAGCAAGCACATGCTGTACCCCCCTCACCAAGTTATGTTATTTAACATTAACAAAATTATGATTGCACTTTGAACTCTACTTGAGAAATAGAACGACAGGCACCTATATGCTTATAATTCGGGTTACAGATTTTATAATAAGTTTTAATAATACGATCGCAGATTCATTTTTGATTTCATAAAACAGTTTGAACGATACATAAGTGTGTCCCTTATGTGACAAGTAGGACGAGAGAGGGAGTCAAGACGCACAAACGTCTGAAGGAAGGAGGAATGACTGCACTCTTCCTTCCTGCCAGTAGTGTCAGTGATCGAGATAGCACGAAACGCCCGTCGTGAGCCGAGTGCGTGAGAACTATTTCACGATAACTGCGGAATGATAAAAGTTTCCCAAATGTACCGCATCCATTATAGCTCGGTTTGTAAATGTGTCCCTCTGTTTGTAAATAGCCCCCTCCGTTTGTATATGTGTTCCCCCTGTTGTAAATGTGTCCCCCTTTTGTAATTGTTTTCCCCCTTTTGTAAATGTGTTCCCCATTTTGTAAATGTGTACCCCCTTTTGTAAACGTGTCCCCATTTTGTAAATGTATCCCCCTTTTGTTAATGTGTCCCCCTTTTGTAAATGTGTCCCTCCGTTTATAAATGTCTCCCCCTTTTATAAATGTGTCCCCCTTTTGCAAATGTGTCCCCCTTTTGTAAATATGTCCCCCCTTTTGTAAATGTGTCCCCCTTTTGTAAATGTCTCCCCCTTTTGTAAACGTGTCCCCCTTTTGTAAATGTATCCCCCTTTTGTAAATGTCTCCCCCTTTTGTAAATGTGTCCCCCCCTTTTGTAAATGTTTTCCCCCTTTTGTAAATTTGTCCCCCTTTTGTAAATGTCTCCCCCTTTTGTAAATGTGTCCCCCTTTTGCAAATGTGTCCCCCTTTTGTAAATGTGTCCCCCTTTTGTAAATATGTCCCCCCTTTTGTAAACGTGTCCCCCTTTTGTAAATGTATCCCCCTTTTGTAAATGTGTCCCTCTGTTTATAAATGTCTCCCCCTTTTATAAATGTGTCCCCCTTTTGCAAATGTGTCCCCCTTTTGTAAATACGTCCCCCCTTTTGTAAATGTGTCCCCCTTTTGTAAATGTCTCCCCCTTTTGTAAACGTGTCCCCCTTTTGTAAATGTATCCCCCTTTTGTAAATGTCTCCCCCTTTTGTAAATGTGTCCCCCCCTTTTGTAAATGTTTTCCCCCTTTTGTAAATTTGTCCCCCTTTTGTAAATGTCTCCCCCTTTTGTAAATGTGTCCCCCTTTTGCAAATGTGTCCCCCTTTTGTAAATGTGTCCCCCTTTTGTAAATGTGTCCCCCTTTTGTAAATGTGTACCCCCTTTTGCAAATGTGTCCCTCCTTTTGTAAATGTGTCCCCCTTTTGTAAATGTGTCCCCCTTTTGTAAATGTGTACCCCCTTTTGTAAATGTGTCCCCCTTTTGTAAATGCATCCCTCTTTTGTAAATGTGTCCCCCTTTTGTTAACGTGTCCTCCTTTTGTTAATGTGTCCCCCTTTTGTTAATGTGTCCCCCTTTTGTAAATGTGTCCCCCTTTTGTAAATGTGTACCCCCTTTTGTAAATGTGTCCCCCTTTTGTAAATGCATCCCTCTTTTGTAAATGTGTCCCCCTTTTGTAAATGTGTCCCCCTTTTGTAAATGTCTCCCCCTTTTGTAAATGTGTCCCCCTTTTGCAAATGTGTCCCCCTTTTGTAAATGCATCCCTCTTTTGTAAATGTGTCCCCCTTTTGTTAACGTGTCCTCCTTTTGTTAATGTGTCCCCCTTTTGTTAATGTGTCCCCCTTTTGTAAATGTGTCCCCCTTTTGTAAATGTGTACCCCCTTTTGTAAATGTGTCCCCCTTTTGTAAATGCATCCCTCTTTTGTAAATGTGTCCCCCTTTTGTAAATGTGTCCCCCTTTTGTAAATGTGTCCCCCTTTTGTAAATGTGTCCTCTTTTTGTAAATGTGTCCCCCTTTTGTAAATGCATCCCTCTTTTGTAAATGTGTCCCCCTTTTGTTAATGTGTCCTCCTTTTGTAAATGTATCCCCCCTTTTGCAAATGTGTCCCCCTTTTGTAAATGTGTCCTCTTTTTGTAAATGTGTCCCCCTTTTGTTAATGTGTCCCCCTTTTGTAAATGCATCCCTCTTTTGTAAATGTGTCCCCCTTTTGTAAATGTGTCCCCCTTTTGTAAATGTCTCCCCTTTTGTTAATGTGTCCCCCTTTTGTAAATGTGTCCCCCTTTTGTAAATGTGTCCCCCTTTTGTTAATGTGTCCCCCTTTTGTAAATGTGTCCCCCTTTTGTAAATGTGTCCCCCTTTTGTTAATGTGTCCTCTTTTTGTAAATGTTTTCCCCCCTTTTGTAAATGTGTCCCCCCTTTTGTAAATGTGTCCCCCTTTTGTTAATGTGTCCCCCTTTTGTAAATGTGTCCCCCTTTTGTTAATGTGTCCCCCTTTTGTTAATGTGTCCTCTTTTTGTAAATGTGTCCCCCTTTTGTTAATGTGTCCCCCTTTTGTAAATGTGTCCCCCTTTTGTAAATGTGTCCCCCTTTTGTAAATGTGTCCCCCTTTTGTTAATGTGTCCCCCTTTTGTTAATGTGTCCCCCTTTTGTAAATGTTTTCCCCCCTTTTGTAAATGTGTCCCCCTTTTGTAAATGTGTCCCCCTTTTGTTAATGTGTCCCCCTTTTGTTAATGTGTCCCCCTTTTGTAAATGTGTCCCCCTTTTGTTAATGTGTCCCCCTTTTGTAAATGTGTCCCCCTTTTGTAAATGTGTCCCCCTTTTGTTAATGTGTCCCCCTTTTGTAAATGTGTCCCCCTTTTGTTAATGTGTCCTCTTTTTGTAAATGTTTTCCCCCCTTTTGTAAATGTGTCCCCCTTTTGTTAATGTGTCCCCCTTTTGTAAATGTGTCCCCCTTTTGTAAATGTGTCCCCCTTTTGTAAATGTGTCCCCCTTTTGTTAATGTGTCCCCCTTTTGTTAATGTGTCCCCCTTTTGTAAATGTTTTCCCCCCTTTTGTAAATGTGTCCCCCTTTTGTAAATGTGTCCCCCTTTTGTTAATGTGTCCCCCTTTTGTTAATGTGTCCCCCTTTTGTAAATGTGTCCCCCTTTTGTTAATGTGTCCTCTTTTTGTAAATGTTTTCCCCCCTTTTGTAAATGTGTCCCCCTTTTGTTAATGTGTCCCTCCTTTTGTAAATGTGTCCCCCTTTTGTAAATGTGTCCTCTTTTTGTAAATGTGTCCCCCTTTTGTTAATGTGTCCCCCTTTTGTTAATGTGTCCCCCTTTTGTTAATGTGTCCCCCTTTTGTAAATGTGTCCCCCTTTTGTAAATGTGTCCCCCTTTTGTTAATGTGTCCCCCTTTTGTAAATGTGTCCCCCTTTTGTAAATGTGTCCCCCTTTTGTTAATGTGTCCCCCTTTTGTAAATGTGTCCCCCTTTTGTTAATGTGTCCTCTTTTTGTAAATGTTTTCCCCCCTTTTGTAAATGTGTCCCCCTTTTGTTAATGTGTCCCTCCTTTTGTAAATGTGTCCCCCTTTTGTAAATGTGTCCCCCTTTTGTAAATGTGTCCCTCCTTTTGTAAATGTATCCCCCCTTTTGTAAATGTTTCCATCCTTTTGTAAATGTTTCCATCCTTTTGGAAATCCTTTGCTCCGTTTCTTTGCTTTTCGGAGACGACAGGCTGATTTTTAGGTAA